CAGAATTTGATGAATTTTTATTTGAGTTTTTTGTGTTTTTTTTTCAACTTATTTTTTTTATTTTTGTTGAAAGCGGATTGAAACATTTTCATGTGCTGTGCTGAAATGAAATTTATTCGTGCTTGTGTGGGCTATGAAATTCATTTAGTTATGATTTGTTATGTTTTGGGACTTGGTAAGGTCTATTTATGAGTTTTTGTGTCAAATCTAAATCAGATTAAGATGAAAATCATTCAAAAAAATTCTTAATTTTTCAAAAAACTCAAAATTTTCCATATTCAAAAAGAAAGCAAATTCAAACATAAAAGTCGCATGTAAAACATCTCAAGAAGTGATTTGCTGAACAAGATTGAGAATATCTTGAGGGAGAAAAAAAAGGAAAGTGCTGAGAGGGTGAAGACGAAGTGAATGTTGTAAATAAAAGGCAAGAAAATCCGAAAGTCAAACAAAATTGTTGGGTTAAAGAGTGATGGGGAAAAACTGGCGATGATATTGATGATGATGGGTCGCATGTGAAATTTTTGTGTACGAAATCAAATAAAATGATGAAAAATTATGCAACTCCACACATCCACTTCCATTTTTGTGTAAAAATTTTTCCTCCCTTTTAAGATTGAGAAAATTTTCGATCATTTCCATTTATTTATTTATTGTTGTTCCCTTCCAGACCCTCTTTATTCCTTCCTCATCATTTCTATTTATGATTGTTTATTGGATTGCATCGTAAAATGATGAGAACTAAGCTGCATATGGTGCCTTGCTTTTTCATTACTTTTTCTTATTCTTTAGAAAATTTATGGAACTGAACCCTTTTTGCTGTGTTAAGTGAGAATTTATTTCTTAATTTTTTTTAAAAGATTTCAAACTTTAAAGTCTACATCCAGTAACAAATTTACCATTGACGTCATCAACTTCCTACAAAATCTTTATAATTGGAATTCTTTCAAGTTCCTCAAATTTCAAAAAGAAGTTGTTTATGTTGTTTTGGATTCGAATTTCGTTGATGAACTTCAAGCAGCTCCAAAAGAGCTCTTCAAAATATTTCTCGAGTGTTTTTCGAGTCCTTCAAATTTTTCTGTTTTCGTTTCTAATTTCTTAAAATAAAAAAAAATTCTTAAAGAGGTTTTGATCTTTTCGAATGTTTTTTTTTTGATTTTATCGCTTATATACCAAATATTTACACTGTTAAATGCTGTCATCTGCTGTGCAGTTTCCCTCAAGGCATAATTTTAAAAATGCTAAGACAAATTTTAATCCTATTAACTAATTCAAATGCACGACACTCAACCAGCATTAATCAATAAATGAAAAAAGAGACAAAAAAAAAGTTTTTCATGGAAAAAAGATGAAAGTGAAAATTTCATTGACGACGTCAGCAAAAAAAACTGAGGAATTCTCTCAATGACAATGAAATTTGAGACAATTGAGATCATTACATGATTTTGTGCACGTGTTAAGTTTGAAATTAAAAGGATGAAAAGAGGTTAATTAGAGATAAATTAGGGGACAAATTTACAAAAGGTTGTTTTGGACATAATTAGAGAATTTACGTAATACATGATGATTGTCTAGCACAGTGTTTCTTAAACATTTTTGGTCCACGGCACATTTTTTAAAAACATATTTTTTCGCGGCACTCCTTTAATTTTTTTAACAACACACACGCACACATACACACACACACATACACCCACAACACACACATACATACACACACACTAGTGTGCCGCGGCACAGAGTTTGAGAACCACTGTTCAGCATGTGAAGATATGCTGTAATTTTTTTGTCGAATTTTTGAATCATTTCTTCATCATTTTTCTATTACTCCAAAATCCGCAAATGAATTTAAATATTTTATAGACCAATTCCCATCCAAAACCACAAATCACCGACCAAATTCCTCAGAGACTCTAACAAAAGCCACTTAAATCTCTTGAATTATCAATAACTATCTAATAACAAACGTCCTACTCTTAAAATATTAATTAAATTTCCCCATCTCAATAACAAAATCTATCCCATCCTCAAGATCATTTTAAACTAAATCCTCTCATTAACAATTTGTTATATAATCTTCTTATTGATTTTCTTTTGAGAATTGTTAACAATAAAGGAAATTTTATTTAATTAAGATTTGAGCACAGGTCCTTTTGTGTTCATGAAAACTATCCCCTAAGATAACAGTAATGGGACATGTATGTAAGACGACATATTCACAATTATCGCAAGGCAGCCATCAATGTCAGTCCTTTTTATCAATAGCAAGAAATAGAAAAGTAAAAGTCATCAAAAATCGAGGGTGTTCGATAAAATAAGGAACTAGAAATATTTCCCCTAATTTTAGTGGTGCTTGTGTTGTGTGTGGGAGGGGTTGTTGGATGTGAATTTAGTCAGACTGACAGGATATTTTTTGTAGGTATGAAAACTTTAGATTTCTAGTTGAATGGTTGACAACTTAGTGTTTAATCAAAGGATATAGCTTACGGGTACAAGAAGGCTTTATATTAGGATAATCAAGCGGCTATATTCAATTATCAATCAAAAAAGTTAGGTTTTGCCCCCAAAAGTCTAAATCAAGGGTGCGAAACTGATGATTTGATCAAAAATGATTAATAAATTGTCAAAAATGATCGAAATGTAATTTATCAGTTCCGCACCCTTGGTCTGAAACTCATTTAATGAAGCACACATTCTTCATGTATGATCAGTCAGCAACCAAATTTGAGAATAACCCCTACAAATGCGCCTTAAACCTACAAAAGCGACACTCAAAATTTCAACTTTCCTTTTTACTTTATCCGTTTTCCTATTTCATGTTAACTAAATGTTTAGTTTATTTACTAAAAGCATATCGTTAAGCAATTGATGCTTCGTTCCATTCATACTCAACAAACAAGAAGGTTCAGTATGAAAAGAAGAAAAAACATTCGTTGAACATTCAAAAGTGTTTTATCGGAGGGTTAAAATCACAACATCACTTCCTATTTACCTTTATTGCCGGTACTAAAAATCCATTTCATAATAAAACATCCACAACTAGACCCGAAGTCTCCGTATTGTGTTTGTAATAAAAGCAAAACATTTGAATTGCGCAAAATCTAACGAAAGTGCCGAGAGAGTTTGTACAAAAATGGAGAGAACGGAAGTCGTGAATGGAAATTCCTTTAGAGCATGAAACATTTCATGTTTTGGAGAGTTTATGCTGCGTTTTTGGGGAGAAGAAAAATGTGCAAAAATTTCCATTTACTTTCTTTTATTTTCTCCCCTCAATTCAGTGGAGTTTTTCGTGGTTGATGGTCGCAAAATTTTCTTGCTCGTTGACTAATTTTTATTTTACCATTTCTGTATTGTCATTCTCACCTGAGTGGGGATTTAAAGTTAAAAATTGAAAGAACAATAAAAAGATAAAAAAAAAAACTTTAAAAGGTGGATTAATTTTGTGATTGTTTATGTTGTGGATTAGTTGAAAGATTTGCAATGATTTGATAAGAAATATTGAAGATAAAACGAGAATTTTGTGAAGATTGAATTGAATTTTCAAAGATTTTATACAAGAATTTGTCAGATTATTGATATTTTGAGAAGATTTGAGGAGAAAATAAGTGAAAATTCTGACAAACCATATGAATATTATACAGAAGCACTGAATAAGTTAAATTGTTGCATCCAAGACTATGTTAAAAATTCAAAATATTTTTAAGAACTAAGAAAGTTCAATTCAATTTTTAAAAGAGTTTTAACTTTTGAAATCTAAAAGAACTGAACATTCATCAATTAAAGAAACATTAAATTCATAAAGTGTTAAATTTAAAAGGTTCAAAAACACCAGAAACAAAGCAATTAAATGCAAAATTTCAGTGTCTAGCATATCATATGCTTCAAATCCACGTTGACTGAAGATTTTAACAACTTTTTCGAACTAAAGAAAATTATTCAAAATCAACAAACAGTTTAAAAATATAACAAAAGTTTTTAAACCAACCGAATTTTAAAATCAACAAATAATTCGAATTGAATTCAACAATAATAAAAAAATAAATCTTCGAAGTTTTAAATAAAACAGAAATTGAATTTAAATCATCTATAAATTTAAAAATACACCAAAATTCAAGAAATCAATGAAATTCATTAAATGAAATTGAGAAAGAATTTGAATTGAAATTGAAATTTCAAAACTCAAATTTTAAAATTTAAAAACACAAATTTTAAAATTTAAAAACACAAAATTTAAAATTTCAAAACACAAAGAAAAATAAAAGGTTTTCATATTAACAACAAAAACTACCAAAAAACCTAATTAAAACACTAAATCTTCCCCAAAAAATTAAACAAGTTGAACTCGAAAAAAATCATTAAACTCAAATTTATAGCAAAAAATTTGCACAGTTAAAAAATATGGATACAATGTGAAGGAATTTCAAGTGAATATAAAAAATTGTGAACATACAAGAAAATTCCATACAAACTCAAATTCAAAATAGGAAGCACAAAAGTCCTTGATAATTCCATCGCATCAAGTGAAAAAGTGAAAGGAAATTTTATTTTTTGTCAAGATGAAAAATGAATAAAAATAAAGTTGTGTTTCGAGTGCGAATAGGAAAGAATCAACACTCGTATGGCACAAAGGAAAATTACATGTTGTAATAATCATGAGGGAGTTGGAAATATGAAAAATTAGAGTCGTTTTGTTCGTTCATCATTTAATGTGAAAATTAATCGACTCAGAAATTAATTTTTGTTATTTTTTTGGTTGTTTTGAAAATGAAATGAAATATAAAATATGAAAGAATTTCCTCAATCGTGTGCGTGTGTTTTGCTGTTTATTGAGGATAATTAAAATTGAAGTGAATCGCTCAGTTGTGTCAGTGTCCATAACCATTCATAGTTGTGGCTGATATCGATGATTCTTATTAAAAATTGATGGACTTTATTGTGAATTAATTAAAATAGAAAATGTCAGTGAATTAAATTAAATTAAGGCTTAAAAGAAGGAAGAAATCATGAGGAATATGGATATAAAGCTTAAAGCATATTGCATTATTCTCACAGCATTATTCATACACCAAATCGAAGGTAATTAACATGATCAAAAATTATAAAATCTGGAAAATCAAAATTGATGTTCATTGGACATAAAAGCAGCATAAATTTGTATTAAAATTTTATGTCCGATGAAAATTTCTGGTAAAAATGAAAATTAACGGCAACAGAAGCGACATCAGCTAATGCACTTGCAAGTCATAAAGCAATTAATTGATCGAAATGAATTTATTGCCATGAGTTGTACTTTTTTATGGACAATCATTGTGCGTTACATGCTGTTGGAGTCTCTTTTTCATTGGTTAGATGATTTTGAATTTTGTCTACAACTTGAAATGGCAAGAATCACTAAAATAAGAACCGGCGACATAAAAATACTTTTCCATGCTTTCTCGCCTTCAAAAAGAAATAAACTTTCCAAATTTTTCCTCCCTTGCTTCCTTGTCGACTTCCTTAAATCGAACAAAAAAAGGAAACAAAATTTAATGAACTCGAAAACGACACAGAAACACACAAAAAGTGAACAACAATGCAAGAAAAATGAGAAAATCAACAACAAAAAAAGTTTTTTGGACGTGGATTTTTATTCCTTCAAATATTCAGTCTCACCCTTAACAGAAAGTCTGTTTAATTTATTAATTATTGATTAAGCATTAATTCATTAGTCAATAAAAAAATATTAAATGAAATTAATCGACATGAGCAGGCGTGAGTGGGAAGTTTGATGAGGAAAATTAAAGCCGGCAATAAAGTTGAGATTTTCATGATTTTTGGATTCAGTTCTTAACTTTAAATCCAATGAAGATTTTTTTCCCACAGTTTTCAGACTGAAAATCCACAAAAGAAGAGGAAGCGAATGATTAACAATAGTTTTAATTAAGAAATCCACAAAATGAACATTTTTTTGTTGCCTTCGGACTTTTTACAATTTTTCATTCCTTCAAACTTTTTATTCCGTTCCTTTCTTGACTAAAAAATTTTCATCGTTAATTAAAAAATTTTCTCGACTTTCTCGTCTTCTTCATTCCTTATCATGTGCTGTGCTGTGCGTCTTGACAAACTCGACTTGCGATTTAATTTGTGGAAAATTGCGGCATCCTCATTATGCTGCTGCTGCTGCCATATGGCATGAAGTTTTATTCTTTTCTTATCTTTATCCTCATTTTGACATTCTTTGAGCAGCTTTGAGCATCAAAAAAAGTGACAGGAAGTTTCTTATCAGCAACAAAAACAGAAGAAGACTCAAAATTGATTGAGGAATGAGGAAATGAAGATAATTAAGAAATTTTCTATCAAAATTGACATTTTCCAATCCTTTTTTATGTCAAGTTAAGGATCCAGGTGACATTTTGATTGTGGAAAATTCCTTGATGAATCATTAAATGCCGTTAATCGCTTTCCTCTTCAATTTATGCCTTGATAAAGAAAAGTCGCAACTGTGAAGGAAATTGTGAATGACTTGAAACATTTTTCGACCCATTTTTCATCCCCATTCTGAACTTCTGAGTGAGTCCGCACATTTAGTTGAGTCTGAGTTGCTGTCAAAGTTGAAAACAAATAAATTTCCTGTCTCGTGGCACAACTGATTACATAAGCACACAATTACGGCTGTGCAAAGTCAGAACGGTGACCGAAAGAATGAAAAAAATGGAAGTGAAAATCGCCTAAAGTGTCGGAAAGAAAAATTTCAGTTAATCAATTATAAAAATTTTGACTTTAAATGCTTTTTGATAACTGAACAGGAAAATTCTGTGTTGAAAATGGTTGGAAGTGCTGAAAAAAATGTTGAAATTAAAAAAATAATTGAAATTAAATCGTGAATTTTTAATAAATGCTGAAAAAAGTTAATTAAAATCAGGAAATGAAAATTTTTCTGATTTTTCCATTGAAATTTTCAATTCTAGATGTTAATTTGAAGTTTTGGATAGCAAATGAAATGGAAAATCAACAAAATCAATTGATTGTTAAAATTTGTTTAGGATTCAAACTGATTTAAGATTTCTTAAATACCAAAAAATCTTCAAATGTTTATTGCAAAGATTTTTAACAATTTTAATTTGCGAATTTTTCACGAAAATGTTCAACAATGAAAAACTTTTCCAGCTCAATGAATTTTCTTTGAAGCTTTCGGAGATGAAAAATTAAAAAAATAAAGAAAGTAAAAAGAAAAATTAAAACTTTTTGATGTTTAGATTATGAAAAGAATTAAGAATTAAGTCTTACATCATGTTGTTTTTGAATTCTCACAAAAGAACACAATCATGTGGAAAACTCAGGAGATTGAAGACAAAAAGGCAATCCAAACATCCATGCAGAATTATAAAGCAAATTTGAATCTATATTTTGAGATTTGAACTCATAATTTTAAAGGTTTTTAATTTCTATGCATTTAAATTAAATTATATTTTAAAGAACTTCTGTAAAAACTTTATACTGCTTGAAAATTAAATATTGAAACAGAAATCATTTCCTAAAGACTTTGTAAACTAGCCTGAATCCTATTCATCAGCATTTACATAAATCCTGCGAAAAATCATAAAAGATTCATCAAATTCGAGCAAAATCACAAGAAAAGCAGATCCAGTTGATAATTTTCCTTCTCATAACAAAATCCTTTTTTCCTTCTTTTATTGTCTGCTTATTCCTTGCAAGAAGAAACACATGAATCAAGAAATATTTTACTGCAATCGATCGAACTGAACTCGATTTTTATGTTTCACATATTTTTATGATTTTATGTTTCTTTTATTTGAACAAATTCCCAAATGAATTTTTTTTTTGTAAAGAAGAAGAATGTATCGAATATCATTGTAATATGTGCTGTGCTGCTCACTCTTCATGATATTTCTGTTCTGTAACACATTTTTCCATTCACAATTATTAATATTCGATTCGCCTCGAGATGTGAAATCTCTTGAGCTTTTTGCTATTTCCTTTTCGTCTATTGATGGATGTGAGATGCAATAATGCACGGATGAAATCGATACTTTCAATTCTTCTCATCCATTTTTCATCAAAAAACTTTCTTTAAAATCTCAAAAATTCTTCAGTCATCGAATTTTATTAGAAAAATCCACAAATAAGGAACAAGAAAAAAAGGAACTGAATATTTATGTAAAGTCATCGAGTCTAATTGATGGATCGGATGAAAATTTTCATCGTCCATTTGCCTCAATTACTAACCACATGTTGTGCCTGCCTTCCTTCTGTGCCTTTTCCTTAACAATTTACATCATTCTTCCAAGTCATCATTAAACATTGAAAATTTTACTTTGTGTGCTGTAGACCTATTGAGTATGGACATCAACAAGTCATGTGACAATTTGAATGAATGACTGAAAAATGTTGAGAATTTTTAATTTTATTTTGAAAGTTTAATCAACCTTCTGAACAATTTGTTTGAAGTATATCCAATTTAGTAGATTCTTCAAACCACAAAAAAAAATCCTTAAAAAATGAAAAAGAAAAACGTGGTGAAATAAATAAAATAAAAAATCCTCAAGTCGATAAATTTCCTCAACAACTTAATTTATTTTCATTCTTCTTTATCCTCAAAATTGATGAGAAGATTCTTTTTCATCCATTTAATGAAGACAACACATGAAGAGGAGGCACTAAAATTGAATTGATTGGCTTGAAAATTGATGGAAAGGCGAAGAAATTTTTTTTTTTTTCCGAAAAAGCATAAAAATAAAAATTGATTTTTTCCATTCCGGTGGATTTTCCTCATGTTTTCATCATCGAGTGTTTTTCTGTAAAAATTTAAGAAAATTTAATTTAAAAGCAAGATTTTTAGTTGAATTGAACGTTGAGTGGATTAGTCTAGGGTTGAAAACTTACGGAATTGATGAAAATTAAATTTATAAAATTTAAAAAAAAACTTTTACAAACTTAAAGCAAATCCATTTTCACTTCACCATCCACAAGAAAAAAAAATCATGAACACGAACCAAAAAGTCAATCGGAGTCAAACGCTGATAAGATAAATCGACTAATGGGAAATTAAATGACATTTATCGGGTCAATGGATACAAAATTTATCAATTTTCTTCTTTCAAGCACTTCACTACTTCCAATGCCTCTTGAACTGCTCATATTTCGATGTAGAATTTGAATATTGAACGCAAGGAATGAAGGAAATCTGTAGAAGGAAAAAAATAAGCGTGCAAATTGAAAAATGCAATGATGTGGAAGAATCTTTATTAGGATCGATTTTGGATGTTTCATTTCCATGACTTGAGTCTTTTTTGTGAGCTTATTCGTAGTTCGGTTGGAAGATTTATGAATTTTGATGTCGTTCATCGAGAATTGAGATTATTTCACTCCAGAGGACCCTATGATGGTAGATAGGTCTAAAACATCAATCTATAGCTTCATAAAATACTCAAATAATTCCTTACTTAAATAAGCATCAATTTATTCATTTATATCCCCTCTTGACCACTTAAAATATAATCCCCTTTCCCACCTCCTTCCTCATTTATCTTCAAAATCAAATCGACACAAAAATCTGAAACTTCCAATTTTTCATTCTAACCAGAAAATCAAACTAAATAAATTGAATCGAATTAACCTTTTTTTCTATCCTCCATCCTTAGTTCCTTTTTTATTTGTTGTCGAATCCACATATTCTATTGTATTTTGAATTACATGAATAAATTTTATCTCCCACACAAAAAAAAAGCTGGTAGAAAAAGTTAAATGAAGGGAAAATCGAAATTGCCAACTTTGGCTATCAATCCCATTCATCTTAATCTCGTTTCCATTTCCAAAAAAACATCTATAATAATAAAAATTCTGTAAGTTTCATTTTCATTCACAACATTCTCTCTTTATTGTATTTAAATCTGTTAGGACTATTTGGTATATGAATGGCAAAGGCATGCAAATCAAGTCTTTTGGATTCTAACGAGGATAATTTAATGATTTTTTTCCTCTTCTACTCTCTGTGTTCGTAATGAAAAGAAACTTTCTCGTATCTCAAAATGAATTTTAAACATTTTAAAATATTTTTTTATGTTTGCTGTTTGTTG